CGCCACTAAACATCTGGGACTTCATTTCCTCGGCTATCTGTTTGACGGGAATCGTCATGGCATACTACGCAGACACACAGCTTCACGAGTTTGTAACCGGAAACCAAAAACTCAAGGAGCAAGGAAAGCCTAAGATCCCCAATCTCGACACGGGTTTGTGGCATTACTCAAGACATCCTAATTACTTGGGAGAGCAATTGTGGTGGTGGGGATTGGTCATATTTGCTTGGAACCTTGGTCAAGGATGGACTTTGATAGGTGCATTGGTCAATACTCTGTGTTTGGTCTATGTAACAATTCTTGTCGAGCGTCGGATGGTGAAACAACAATACAGAGCTGAAGCTTATAGAGCATATCAGAAGACAACTTCGGTGTGGATTCCATGGTTCAAATCTCATGTTGCTGCTACTAAAGACAAGAACACTTGAGGAAGCTGTGATTAGTTTGTTTCAATAGGGTTTCTAGAGATCCTTAATTGTGTATTATGATCCTTTTTTTGGTGTTTTTTCCTCTCACTTTGTTTCCTTGGGGATGTTTTCTTTGGTCTGTGTAAATTTGCATTATAATGGGTTTTTCTTCCGTCTATTTGGGCTCGTCGTCGTCGTGTTAATAAGTGTTTTTAAAAATCATACTCCCTCTGTTCCATTTTGTTTGTAGTTTTAGGCTTTTTTTTTTTTGTTCCAATTTGTTTGTATTTCTCACATATCTATGCAAAATTTTACTTATTCCAACAATTTATATTTTCACAGTAATTAATTTAAATCAAAAAATAATTAATAAATTTTGGTCAAAGAAGTCCAAAAGTCCCAACTACTCTAACAATTGACTCAGTAAATAATTTATACTCCACTGCCACAAACATTCATGTACAAATAAAAATGCAAGAAAAACAAAACAAATCAAAAGATGGTCAACCAATGAACAAGACAAATCCTTCTGCTGCTTTCAAATTTGATCTTAATGAACCGTATTACGAAGAAGATGAGGAGATTCATCTGGGCAAAGCATCGGAGCAAGAAAAAAAAAAATCAAAAGATGTTCTACTGAACGAGATAAGTCCTTCGTCTACTCACAAATTTGATTTAAACAAACCTTATTTTGAAGAAGAGGAAGAGATTCATCCCAACGAAGCAATGGAACAACAAGTAAGTAAATCAGCAAATGTTTCATCAACCAACAAGACGAATCTTAGCACCACTCGAAATTTTGATCTTAACGAACTTCCTCCCAAGGAAGAGATGGACGAAGCTCTCGTGGAAATGCTGAAGCTTTTGCTACCTGGATATCTTTAAGTTTTCGTTTTGTTTTGGCTCTATTGTAAAATTTGAATTTTTTAGATTTAAACTGTTTATGAAAAATTTTGGCTCCAAATTTTAACTTTTTTAATAATTTGTTCATTACAAGTAGTACTTTAATTGGAGTGAAGAAAAGTTGACGTGAGTTTTTAGTGGCTATTCATCTTCTTCTTTTTTGTTGTTTTTAAGTAAAAACAAGTTTTATTAATTATCTAATTAATGATTTTTAACCAAAATTAAGTTTCCTTAATAATCGTGCTTTTAGTTAAAACTACAAACAATATGGGACAGATGGAGTAGTTATTTTATCTAGATATGAAATGATTTTGTTTTAGAAAATCACAAAAAAAAAAAGAGAGTTTTTCTCATTTGATGTATATTCGTCAACAACAAATCAAAAGCATATGCCAAAATGGTTAGATACTTGATAAAATTGTAGAATATACCATTAGAATAAAATATAGTTGATGCTATTTTATCTTTGGGAAAAAATCAAATCGAAAAATGCTATAAAAACAGGGTGCAACATAAACAAAAAAAAAAAAAAAAAAAAAACACATTATTCTCGTTCTCATCTCCAGTTTTCATAGTCACTAACCTAAAAGAATGGAGGAAGCTTGGAGGAGATTTGTTTTATTCTCTGTTCTAAGTGTTTCTTTGATCTACTTATGTCTTTCAACATGTCACGTTTCCGCCTACGGCTTCGGTAGAAGGCAGCTCCGGTTTAATACAGATGGTCGGTTCAAGATACTGCAAGTGTCAGATATGCACTACGGTTTCGGCAAAGAGACACAATGCTCAGACGTCTCACCAGCAGAATTTCCTTACTGCTCTGATCTCAACACCACCTCCTTTTTACAGCGAACTATCGCTTCCGAGAAGCCCGATCTCATCGTCTTCTCTGGTACCAAATTCTTCAAATAATATACAAAATTTTATGTGTGTAGGGTTTTACAATAATTTTGTGTTTTTATGCGTGAAAAAAATAGCCTAAAACAACACAAACAATGCAGGAGACAATGTATATGGATTGTGCGAGACAAGAGACGTGGCAAAATCGATGGACATGGCATTTGCTCCAGCCATCGAATCGGGGATTCCATGGGTGGCCATTTTGGGGAATCACGACCAAGAATCCGACATGACTAGAGAAACAATGATGAAATACATCATGAAACTCCCAAACTCGTTGTCTCAAGTAAACCCTCCCGATGCTTGGCTATACCAAATCGACGGTTTTGGTAATTACAATCTACAAATCGAGGGTCCTTTTGGCTCGCCTCTCTTCTTCAAATCCATTCTCAATCTCTATCTACTCGACGGTGGAGCTTACACGAAGCTCGATGGCTTTGGTTACAAATATGATTGGGTCAGAACCTCTCAACAGAATTGGTATGAACACACTTCTAAATGGCTTGAGATGGAACACAAGAGGTGGCCATTTCCACAGAATAGTACGGCACCGGGATTGGTTTACCTCCACATTCCAATGCCGGAATTTGCATTGTTCAACAAATCGACGGAGATGACTGGAGTGAGACAAGAATCTACATGTTCTCCACCTATCAACTCTGGTTTCTTCACCAAACTTGTCGAAAGAGGTGAAGTCAAAGGTGTTTTCAGCGGTCACGACCACGTCAACGACTTCTGTGCCGAACTCCATGGGGTCAACCTTTGTTACGCAGGCGGTGCCGGGTAACTTGCACTACACGCTGTTTTACTCATAAAACCCTTACTTGTGTAACACACGTTTTGTTTTAATTGTTTTAGGTATCATGGATATGGAAAGGTTGGTTGGGCGAGGAGAGCAAGACTAGTTGAAGCTCAGCTTGAGAAGACTAAGTATGGACGTTGGGGAGCTGTTGATACAATCAAAACTTGGAAACGGCTCGATGATAAGAATCATTCTTTAATTGATACTCAACTTCTTTGGTCCAAGAACACAAGTATTTAATATCAAATTTAAATTAACTTGAACATTTGGAATGGTATTTTGATCTTACTTTTTGTTTTATTGCAGTTCTTGAGCCAAATTTTGGGTTTACTTGCTCTACTATACCACAACACTGATCATGAAGCTGAGTACTTGTACAATGATATGATATGTTTCATTTTCTTTATTTATGTTTTGCCATCTATTATTTTGTTTAGAATAAGAAAGAAGACCATTCAGCTTATAATTTTCTGCTTTGTTACATTAGTTTTAATTTTATGACATGAGTCAAATTGGTTCGACTTGGTAAATTTAATAATCTCTGGAAATGTTTATAAAGAGTTTATAATGTAGGGACTGAGTGAGCAATATTAGAATACTGAAATCGCAGAGGTCAAAGTCAAACTTGGATATTACTTTACTTTGTCTCGTTGAAACGCCGTGACGTTTGAATGTTTCAATCAAAGATTGTGTGTTGTTTTTGTCTGGGATTTTTGCCGCCAACAGAGTCGAGAAAATCCCCAATCCTCTCCTCTAACTAGGGTTTTCAGTTGTCACGTCATTTCAATATAACGTTTTCTCTAGTTAATTTCTAAAATTCTCATTCACATCGATCTCTTGAGATATGAAGTCATCTTACGGTTTATATAATCCACCAAATCAAATTGAAACAAATCCAGGAATTACGAAAAAATAAATCACCAAATTTGATAATTAACGTTTATATATATCCTAGATTTTTAAGAGAGTACAAAAGCCAATCTTAAGCATGATTAAGGCTATATCCTAGATTTTTATTTTTTCTAATGTATCTATCTTTTTTTTTTTTTGGTCAGATCTAATGTATCTATCTTGCTAGACTAATCTAAAATTTTAGAGAAATTTCATAAATTGCCATTGTATGAATATTTTTAAAAATTTCGTGAACACAGAATCTATTCAAATGTACTACTACTCTACCAGAACTTTTCGTGAAACTTAATATCACAACAAATTATTCAGGGTTTATTTTTTATTAAGGATCGATGAAAACTGAGAACAAACAACTTAACCAACGTGATTCATTTGTAAAAGTAATAGAAGTATTTGCAAATTAAATCTCCCAAAAATCTATAGCTTAATCAGTGTTTATTGAAATGACAAAACGTAAAACACTATTTAATTATTGTTTTTATACACTCGCTAAAATGAAACTTCAGTAGATGCGTAACTGTAATCTTTCAATGATTTTTCTTAAAGTAACAATATGTACTATAATAAATGGCAATCTCTGGTACAACTAAAATTGAAAATCATTCAAATACGACTTATGCATGGAAACATGTGTTTGATGATAATAGATTAATATCACGACTTTAAAAACTTATATGTTAGCTATGGACGTATATATAGGACGTATGCATCTTTAAACTTCACCAAAATTCATTTGCAAACCTTTAGTATGAGATGAGTTAGCTATACTAGCATCGCGATGCATAAACCCTAAATAAATTTGAGATTTAACTTATGCGTTTATAAAATTATACCAAAACCATAACCATCATATGAGTAATGATTAACCAGATCATATAACTATAACTAGATGCTAGCTATAGTACACACATGTGATAATTAAATCATACTTCATCTGTTCCTAGATATTTGATGTTCTAGTGTTTTAGTTTGTTCCACAAAGTTTGATTTTTTAAGTTTTTTTTCTTTTTTAATTAATTAAAATTAATATATCGTAAACTTCAAGACGTAATGATTAACTGTTTTTAATACTATTGGTTCAAAGTTATTAAAAATTATTTAGTATAAAAAAGTAATTGAAAAATATTTAAACAATGATTGCTTCTTAATATATGTGAAAACTTTATAACATCAATCTTCTAGGAACAGAGGGAGTACTAGTATACGATCTACATATCATCATCACATGCATGTAATAACCTATGTGTATAAACATAATATTATTTACATTAAATGTGTCTCTGCAATGTATATATATGTATTGTGTAATATTACTTCAGGGCTCAGACCAAGAGACGCAAAGAGAAACCCAAAACACAAAGCATAACTGACCACAAAATAAAATTGATTTTTAGATTTTCGTAATTTTATAGCCTTCAGCTTTTGTTAATATAGGGTCTCATAATTTAACTAATGCATCAGAAAATATATGTGAAAACAGATCATACCTTTTTCAATCGCCCCAAGAAAAAAAGAAAAGAACGAAGCTCTTCTCTTTTTGCTAATATAGACATCACAATGATATAAAGAAACAAGATTTTTAATTATTGTTTTGTCACTGCCCATCTCCTGCAACTCTGCCTAACTAATATCCAGCAATAGCTTCAGAGAAAAAGCAGCAGCAGCAGCCATATTTAGTAACCAAACATAGAAACCCATCACCAAATTAATTGCAGGGACAATAATTAATGACCTACATATATACATATAAATACAAAATGCAACACACACACATACATATATAGAGACAATTCACTTTTCTAAGACAGCCCATCAAACTCTGAAACTTTCTGACCACAGAGACATACAAGAGAGACATGGGTTTACACTGATCCCAATCCTAGTTCATGTCTCTTCTTATAATATCTCACTTATTTGTACCCATTTTTTCCTACTCTATATACAGACTTGCAATCTTCTTACTTAATCTTTGATCTGTTTTGCCAAATGTAAATAATAATTTGATCCATTGGTATATAACTGATAGCAATGGAAAAAAAGACGTACAAATGCTAGAAGTACTACTTCATCTATATACATAATCAACATTTTCAAGAACACATAACAAAAGACTATATCGGAATCCATAGAAACCATGCATATTATTAGAACATACTGTATATCATTTCTCTGATAAATTTATAATGAAATCAATGCATTATGTTGTCATATATATAGAATTATATATGTGTATTATTTTTTCTTAAAATACCAACTAATATTTCATCATAATTATTATTGATCCAAATCAAAAGACAATGAAGACTTTCCTTTCTTAGTGAAGTGGTCATCTTCACTGCTACTCCCAAGTCTCAGCTGAAAGAAAGAGGAAGACGAAGCACCACCACCACCACCGCCACGTGGCAAACTTCCACCGGAAGATGATGATTCCTCCTCCGTACTGTTGGTCATTCCGCTCTCGCCGCATTCCATGTCAACTCCAAAAAGCCTCAGTCTCTTCCCGGCCGTTCCAACAAGTTCCTGATTAGCTCTTCCGTGCATCATCACCGGCACAGATTCGATCACCAACGGATCAGCCACCGCAGCCGCCGGATTATTCCTCTGATCCACTGACCTAACGAAGTAACCATAACCAAATTCTCTCGGAATTTGATGGTAATTATAACCACCGCCGTGATGATGACGTTGCTGCTGATGATTATACAGATTGTAACTCGTCGAAGGAAAGCTGTAAAACCTAGGGAACATAGCTCCGGCGGCGAAATGAGGATGGTCAGGGACTTTAGGTCGTCTCCTCCAATCAATAAACAAACGACTATCTCTTCCTGAATCTCCGACACATCTTTGAAAAGAGACAATATCTCCGGCGTCAAGCTTTTTGTCTTTAACGAATCTGCTCCAACCTTTAGTCATGACATAGCTTTGACTACTGTTCCAGTAAGAGTAACGGAACCTCCATGATTTGCCTGTGAGATCTTCGAAGTTTAAAAGCAAACCTTTCTCGTTAGAAGATGAATCTAAAGGGAAGAATCTCTCTGCGTGTTGCTTTGGGATCACAAGTCGGTTTAGTTTTCCGACATCACTTGGAGTCACAACTTTGTCGAACATGTGCTCTCTCTCTGCTACTTCTCTCGTTCCTGCTCCTTCTTCTTCTAAGGGCTTTGCTTCTTCTTCTTCATCTTCATCTCTTGTGAGAGATAAATCTGTCATCATCTTTAGAACCCAGATCTCTTAAGGGTGTGACCAAGAATTGGTTTTGAGAATGGAATTTGATGAATTCACAGCTTCCGGAGGGAATTGAGAAAGGAGGAGATACAAGCAAAACCCTAGATTTAGGAAGAGAATTGGAGGAGGAGAAAAGGTTAGATTGGTGATGTGATTGACCTAATTATACATAAATAGAAAGTGGGTTTAGCCTAACTTCACTGATCATCATCTTTCTCTGTCTCTCTATATCTATATCTCTTACTGTTTCAAGCAATAGCTATAGCTCTTTTAAATCCAGAGAAAGAAAACAAAAACAAAAAAAAGTTGTCAAGATTTTTCAGAAGAAGAATGAGAAACCAAGAAGAGAGAAATCAGCAGTGTTATGATGAGAATGATGGAGAGATATGGGCAAGAGAACCAATTTAGAGGGACCCATGAATAAATCTGGTTCAGTTCATGTGACCTTATTGTCCTTTTACCACCATTCTAGTTTCTTTCTTTTTTTATTTCCTTGCATAATAAAATTTCTTTAAATAATTCCCCATATTATTCATTTGCCACCTAAAATGCTTGAGATCGAACAAAAATAAAAATCAGATTTGTCCAACGAATACAAATTAAAGTAGATGATGCATGGTTGGGATATGAGGAGAAGAGAGCTGATAATGTCGTGGGCTTAGGGAGAAATTCTTGTTTTTTCTTTGATTTAGGATCTTAAAACTATAAATAATCAAATGATTAATCAACAATCTCGTCCTAATAAATGCTAATTATCGAAAAGTAAACTTCTTTTATGGGTTTGCTGCAATTTTGGTTTCACAAAGCTTTTTAGTCTTGGTCTTTACTGTTGACTTTTTTTTGGTTATGGTTCCCTCCCCTCCTCTTTCTTAATTTTTTTCTTGGTATAATACAATTTACACACATAGACTGTATATGTATAATATTTTGTGTTTGTTTGGGTGTTACATGTTTTACTATTGCAACAGTTGTTATATACTTTCCCCACTTGTAAGAGATGCTTTTTATATTATTAATCCACACATTTATACCTCTTACCTGTCCTTTATTGTAATTCCAATGACCACTTTATTTTGTTTGTTTTTGCACTTACAATGTTTGTGTACTCGTTGCTACGTTGCATCATGTCTGGTATAAAACATCAAAACCATAGTTTTTTTTTTTTTATCAAAACTAAAAACTATACGAAACTTATGTGAATTTTAAATTCTTATGAGTTTCCAACTTAAAAGAAGTTGATATTAAACGTATTGGTTAATATTTCTTGAATATTATTTTGATATATATCTTCGACGACATAATAACTTCTTATTTATATCTTAAATTAAATTTCCTTTTAGGATCACAATAAAACCCTAACAAGGAACAACTGAGCTATATAGCAGACATCTCGTACGTCTGGAACGTGATTGTTAACCCTAAAATTAAAATACGTATTAAGTTTTTTTTTTTTTTTGGCCTAATAAACCAATAATATGAAGGATTCTTAAATTGATCGACTTATCGATGGTATTTAATTTAACTTCAAATGAATGATTATAGATTAATAGTATTTGAATAGTCAATTTTCATCTGCGGATTGAGAAAATATCATATTTTTGGTAATCATGCACATTTTCTCAATATATATTATGATCAGATTACCTAACAATCTCCATCTTAATATTGTTTGGTTAACGGAACCTTTTATAGCCAATTAAAAAAAAGTCACTCTGGTTCCGAGTTTTCAAGGTTCATTAGCCGACACCTTTGTCCTTTTATAACCTTTTAGCACCCTCTCTTAATCTATCTACTCTCTCTTCTTTGATTTAATTATACCTTCAACATATATGGTATCCTCTTAATGCCTAATTTTTTTGTAACTGTCCCCAAAGAACCTAACAATATTCTGTAAAGTTTTTTTTTTGAATGAAGATTTTTCTGTAAATTTTATGATAGCTTTTGGAATATAATTAACATTAAGGTAATCCAACAAAGAAAACAAGTCACTAATATGTGTATACCTTGATATCGTACGTAATCGTTCTTCTTTATAATATTTCAGGGTGATCAAATCGAAAAAGAAGAAAAAAAAAAACTAAAAATAAAGCCGCATATTTTTTTTTGCAATTTAACTGTAAACACACGAAAAACTAAAATGAGATAGTTGTTTAGTTAATCATGCATTAGTAATATTAGTATTGTTTGCAAAATATATTTTTTAAAATCATGTGTAACTACATTTGCATATGCGTTCAATTCCATGGAATTCACAAAATCATGATAATATACTCACTTGGAAGTTTGACAAAAAAAAAAAAAAAAAAAAAAAAAAAAAAAAAAAAAAAAAACTCACTTGGAATGTCACAAAATCCATCGATGAGACTCATGAGAGAGAAAAACTTTCTAAAAAATACTTCTTCCGTTTTAAAATATAAATCATTTTGGAGAAATTTTTTTTTAAAAAAATATAAGTAGAAAAAATACAAGTTGTTTTCAAGTTTCTATACAAATTATATATTATTTTAATATTTTATGATTATTTTATTATGCAGTCTCTTTTATGAGTGGTTGACTTTTAAAAAATATATTTTCTTAATAGGCGTGCTTTTAACTAAAACGTCTTATATTTTGAAACGGAGAGAGTAAAAACCTCTCTTTAATCAATAAAATAACAATAATAGACATGGTCTTGTTCTTGGACCGGCCAAAGAATCTTAGAGTTTATGGCTCAAGATATATAACTTTCTACATAAAACGAAAATCGACACATTTGTTTGTTCCAGCGCATCGTACTAACAGCATGTAACAATGTTAGTATAGTAACGTGACAATTAATCTAATTTTGTTGATAATTAAAATTGGTTATGTGACAATTAATCTAATTTTGTAGATATTCAATAATTATTTTAATTGTAAATATAATACTCTTATTTGTTTTTTTGTTTTTTTTTAAATAGAAAAGTCGTCGGAATTTTGTCGGAACTAATTTCGGTATATATTTATTTTTATTTTAAAAGTGGTCGGAAATTTCCGACGAATTTCCGACCACTATATGAATAGTCGTCGGAAATTTGTCGGTAATTTCCGACAAAATTCCGACAAATATTTCGGACAAAATTTCCGACGAATAGTTTTCGTCGATAATTCGTATTTCTGACGACTTATGGTTTCCGACCAAAGAATTCCGACGAATTTGATTTTGTCGGAAATGCGTCGGAATATGCTATTTCTGACGAATTTCCGACTAATACCGTCGTCGGAAATTGTGATGTTTTCTTGATATATATAATTGTGTTTGGACGTGGTCCTGAAAGAGACTAAGCACCCTTCACGTCCCTTTATCCAATTTCGGTTTAAGTCTAATGAATGGCTGGTTAATGATTAAAGCTTATAACTTTAATAAAATAGAATTGTAGTAGTCTGATGATGTACTAGCTAGCATAGTCGTATTTTCATGTTAATCGATGATGTTATTAGTCGATTACGTACTACTTAAATTTTCTTCCTTTTTACCATCAGTCTTATCACATCTTTTCATTGACTGCAAGAAAATTAGAAACTTGACATGATAAAGCAGTAGGTAAAGGAACATTGATAAACGTGGTCCAATATTTCATCCTCACTCCTCAGTACATAATTGGTTGGACACAAAAGCCTCTAGTCGATAGATTGTTTTCTTCTGCTTCATCGTTATTGATTCGAATCTTAATCAAAACTATAGGAAAGTTTTGCATCTTAATGAAAATTCCATTAATATATATCAAATTGCATATGATAAGTACTATAGCTAAAATTTACTTTTATTAATCATATCATTGCATGGCTTATCTTATTTTCTTTGTTGATTTAATAAAGGGGGTTGTTGCCCACGCGCATCTTATAATATCACCCCTAATTAATATGTGACTGAATGAATTGAATATTAGGCTGGATAATATCAGCAACATAAATATGACAGATAAATTTTGTTCTCCAAATTTTGCAAAAATAGCGAAGCACAACAAAAGGCAATACGATTAACTCTTTCTTTATATCTATGACCACTATTCTTTTTGTTCTCCACTCTATTTTTTTTTCTTCCCCAATATTTACATATGATCATCTCTCTATTACTTTAATTTCTTGTAGAGAGAGAAAGAATAATACAATAAATATCAAGAAATTACGAGGAAACTGTAGCGTTGTCCTTTTCAAAGCTATGCCCTATTAGCCAAGGGGACCTCTCTATTTCTATACATCTTACTCTTCAATTCCTATCAAAGTCATTCATAGTTTTAAATTTGAATTGAACTACAAAAATGCATCAACTTAGCTTACAGATAATCTTCTCGGTAGATAAACTTGCAAATTTGCAATGCGACTAAAATGATTAATGGAGCATGTAGTTGTTTAGTTTGGAGCATAAGTTAACTTTTAAAAAATCTCTCACAGTCCATTTTTTGTTTGTTTTGTTTTCTTTCTTTCAAAAGCCAATAATATGTATTATGTAGTGTTCATTACTTTTAACGGCAAACAATTTGTTTTAAAAAAATTGACTGAAAATCTTACAACCAATTTCATAAAAAATAGTCTAATAATTACACCCGTAACAAATCAACCTTTCAGTGGTCTCTTAGCTCTCGATTCTAACCTTCCAATTTTGTACCCTAATCTATGTCGTCACACTATCGTTTGAATTGACCCACATAAAATAACGATCGAAGTAGTTTGTTAGTCGTTGTTTGTGGGATTAAACTATGATTTGGCAAACCCACTTTATGGTAGTAGTTTAATGTACCAAATTAGCTTATGAGAATGATGGAGAGTTGGTGTATATATATAGAGAGATATTAGCATATGATAATGAAAGAAGAAAAGATGGGGTTAGGGTAAGGACCACTTTGTAATTGTATACTGAAAAAAACAGACTTGCACTTATTTAAGTCTTGTTAATTTAAATGCCCACTCGATGCTACTTTCTTTTGTCCATCTCCTTAAACCCTCTTATCCCACTAGAGTCTTCCCCTCCTTTCAAATGCCGACGCCAAACTCTATATCTACCCTCATGAATTGTAATTGCATCTCAAAATTAAAAAAATCATCTATAAAGTTTTTCTAAACTAACCATTTACAAAAAAACAAAACTTGTAAATATCTATCCAATCTATTCGCAGAAAAAAAAAGAGAGAAAAAACACTGGTGAATATAATATATATGGTATAAATAGTTTGATGAATGGATTGGGGCAAGGGCAGGCCTGGCTTTTGCTCGATCCATCGAGGTGTGTGTGAGGGCAAGACAAGAAAACGTAGCCTTTAAAAAATTAGGGTTTCTTTGTTTTCTTTTCATAAAGAAACTGTAAAATAATATAAATTTGTTGTAGGTTTTTTTGGACCGACGCGATCTGCGTAGAGTCACTCGTGTTAAATAAATTAAATCGACCATTATTGAATATAAAAGAGATATGATAATAATACATATAAGATCGGTCGCCATCGAAGAGGTAGTGGTGAAGTAGAAGGCGGTCCATTTTTTTTTTTGTTTAATTTTAAAAATTTTAAAATGAAGAATCGGTGGTGCGATAATGGCAACAACATGCTCCAGTTGTCAATTTGCCCCCAGAGTCTAGGACTCTCTTCTCTCCATCTCCCTCTCTCTCTCTCTCTCTCTAGCCAACCCTCTCCTTTATTTAAACAACATAATTGGTCTTTAAGCATGCATCTTCAAAGTTCATGTGCCAAAAAAGAAGAGGAAAAGTTAATGCTTATTGCCCTTATCCAATTCCTGAAATTTAGATTCGTATAGCCGAGATTTCTATTTTTTCATGTTTATTGTTTTCAATAGTATTATTTTATTCAATCTATATATGTTATATATTATGAAGAATTTATTTGTTTAAGTTCACCCTTAATTTTTATAGTATTCAACATATAGTCGATTAGGTGAAAATATTATATATAGTGGATTCAAATTTTATTTGAATTTACCGTCTGATACATATATGGATCATTCCTATATTTTCGAATATATCATTTTTCATAATAAAGTGAAAATAATAAACCGTTTTCGAAATAGTTTCAAATTTTTATTTCCTGTTCTTAGTAAGGTT